CACTACTTGTGTCACTTACGTCATGTGTCAAAAACACTGCAAATAACAGTGAATTTGAGCCTTTGGCTTAACATGAGCTGCAGATATTAATCTTTAGAGATGCAGAAAAACGGAGACCCAAAAATGGACCTTCGTCCTGGAGCCACACTTTCACAGGTATCCGCAGCAGTGTCAAGGGTAGGCGTGGGTGATACGAGGCATGTGCAGCAAACTACGCCTTACTAACTGTAAGTCAAGTGTTGCTACTCACTTCTTTGTGTGTGTTTTCTACTAAACTTAATATCAAGGTTTTATGTGGGTGAAACATTATGTGTGCAGCGAGCTATGGTGTTAGATGCAACTGTCGCCACTCACTCAATCTCAGGTAAACTTCAGCACCGCCATAATCTACATAAAGTAGATGCTTGAAGCGGCAGACTGGCAGACCTGATCTGTATCAGTTCCACAGGACATACTTGCTTGATTTATCCCATCCATTTAAATCTAGTGACTAGAAACAAAGAACATTCATATTGTTTTATTAAGATGCCTCCGGGAATGAAGCCGACACGCTGTGGTGCAATGCGTGGTGCGGACGGTATGTCATCACTTGTAGTCCGTGGATCAGAGAATGCCGCGATCTGGTTCCACGACTCATTCGGCAAGCGATTCTCGAATGATGCTTGCAGAGCCCAACACCACGCCATGTGATCAGAGTATTACGAAGGGACAGAAACCAAGAAGGCGCAGGCGAAAACTTGAGCCAGTGTGACTAAGGTTCAGCGAGACCATTCTCCTGTAATGCGCGATGCTCATGCAGTACAACATGTGCAGTCGGGCAAAGCATTCTATGATTTTGCAAGCGTGTCGCGGCACATCTCAGCGACTGTTTGTGGTAGCATAAAAAGGTAGACCTACTCCATCAGAAACTGGATCATCTCACCAGTACGAACCCAAAGATTATGTCCGCGATACCAGTACGTCCACTGCGCTGACCTGATTTTTCGCGTCAATACCGGACTATCTCGGGTTCGCGCTGTGTAATATGGTCTCTGATATGCCGCCAGCAGCGATCAATCACCTGTGCTGTGTTATAACCAGTTCTCAACACTACTTAGTATACTGTTAATCATATTTCATACTTGAGGTATCATGTGTGTGTGTTCATCTTGGGAACCCGTTCCTGCGTACCGCTCTTAACAGTCAGCTTCTGGCCCGTAGGTAGCTTGAGCTTGTAGATCTTGGTATAACGCGGCTTTTCCCAAATAACCTTCGGTTTTCATGTGATTGGGCGGTTTTCATGTGATTGGGAACTGTATAAAGAATATCACTTATAAAATGTAATACCACTAATACTTATTATAAACTTGTATAGTATATTTAGGAACTAAATCAAACAAGGAACTTTGCCTCTCACACGGGTTTTCTTCTTTTGATGCACCACATTACAATGAATCACCTGCGAGAGTTTCATCTTATAGGCGCGCGCTCCATCTGTATGAAGAATAACGTTCTTGCCCTCCAAATGCTTTTTGGCGATCGGTTTCCAATCCCGTTTTCGGATAGGTCCTGGTCCTGGAGCGCGTTTCTTGGCGTTCTTAGGATTGAGGCGGAAGAGGCGGAGAGATGTGGAGCGACCACGTTCCACAAGCCCACCCCACTGTTCCCAGCGCGTGCTCAATAGTGGTGAGCTGTGATTTTCGAACGTGCCCTTGCCGAGATCAACCTCGTCAGCCTCGACATCCTTCCAGTTGCCATACGTGATGTCCTTCTCTTTCTGCACTACAAAACTGGCCCTTGCGATGTCCAAGTTCGTGTAGATCCGCGCGATAATTTTGTCATCCACGTCCAGTAGGAGGTGTGTCTGGACCATGGAAAGGAGGATTGCGCAGAAGAGATTGGCAACCTGCATGACTAAGCTGGTGACGCGGTTGCCACGGCCAGACGTGAAGATACGATGATGATCATGAGGCTGTGTTCGTTTCATACATTTCTTTTTAGTGCAACGGTACGCGTAGATGCCCTTGATGTTGGAGTACTGCAGGCTAGTAAGGCTCTTCTCGCCGCAATGTGGGCATTGCTTGTACTTGGGGAGAATCTTGTCCTTCTGAAGGAATCGGATAAGGGCAAGCTGCTTCATGCTGAAGAGTTTCTGAATGGAAAGACCCCATTTCTGACGTTCATTGCGAACTTTCTTGGTAGGATCGCCATGACGAACATAAGGGACCTTGACGAACTTCTTCATGACACTAGGTGCTGGTTTGCGAAGTGCACGTGCCTTTCCTCGTTAAGACGGCCAGGACCGAGTAGACTTCGATTTCATCGCCTTTTTCGGCATCACGAGATTCAGGTGTTCTACGTCTACTGCAGAGATCTTGTAGCCAAAAACTGTGTCAAACATATATAACATGAAAGCTTGTGCACCGCAGCTCTTTATATTATTAGATTACGCGAGAAACTCGTACTTGAAATGGTAAGATATCCACTAAAAATATGGGTTTTATTACTATTCAAGCACATACTCTCTTTTGTTGCCAGGGGCTGTAGTCGCTCTCAGATTTTGTGAAAAGCTGAACGCAAAATGCTTTTCCAGTCTGTGACACTGAGTGCGCTACACATTCTTATTCATCTTGTATAGTTTTTCATATATATGTAGTGTATATGGTATTGCACACATTAAATACTTATTGTCTTTGTGTTTGGCACTCAATGAGTAGAATCGCACATGAGAGACCTGTAGCTTTGCACTTTACAAACTACATCTCAGGGGGCATCAGTGTCAATGTCCATCTCGTCCGGGGGCATGTTGTCAATCAACTCCTCCAGTGCTAGCTCTAGTTCATCTGGCGCCTCGCCTACTTCTGGCATATGGACCTCTACGTCAGAGTCTGCATGGTAGCCAGGAAAGTCAGGATTCTCAGGACATGGAATTGCAAGGGAAGCTTCTCTAACACGAGCTTTCTTTGGAGATGGCGATGGCGAAGGGGTATCCAACGAAATAGGCTCTCTGTGGGTTGCGGACGACAATGCTCTTGCGAAAATCTGCCTTTCACGCTTAACACGAAGATCAGCAGGAGCAGGCCCTTCAGGACAAGCATGAACACGAAGTTCGGCAGGAGCGGGCCCTTCAGGACAAGCATGAGCGCGAAGATTTGCAGGAGCAGGCCCTTGACGACCAGCATTCGGGGAGTCATGTGTGCGAATAGCCTCTTTCAGCCATGCGTCTTCCCAGAGAAGGCGAACCTCATGATCTTCTGGGATTGGCCCTCCCCTTCTGTAGTTGGCGCTGATGTGCTTGGAAGAGTCCTTGACAAGGTCTGGGAGACACCAGCTCATGCATGACACCGGCTTTGGGGAAGGACCAGGCGTGCGCCAGTAAATGATTTCCTGGCCTACCACAATGAACACTGATCGCTTCAGGATTGCCATGGCGTCCACTTTGCTTATGTCACCTAAGTGTTCTTAAGATTTTAGCAATTTAAAAGTTTGAGTAGAAAATGACTACTGCTATTATTTTAAACCGAGTAGCCAATAGCAGGGTTGATGATTTTCATAAACTGCTCGTGCCTGATGGTGGGGTTCGCGCCGACAGGAATTGTGGTTTCGTGACAACGTTCGAAGGCATTGCCAATCACGAGCCGAAGTTGGTGCTGAGCGAATTTTGCCGCTGTCCAACGTTCCTTAGTCAGTGTCTCAGTGTCTGATACGTCCGAGAACGCCCTTTTCTTCTTCACGGGCTCATTACCAATCTCGCCATCATCGTAAATTGCAGGCACCTCTTTCGTAAAGGGGACACCGCGGAAGTAATCGAAATCACTACCAGTGCGGTAGCACCCCTCACCACCATGGTACCTTGAAAACATCATGGCGATGGTTCGACCCAAAGGAGTTTTACCTGTAGCGAGTTGTCCAAGCAGCCAAAGAGCGTGCTCACGCAAGTAAGGCACTAACCTGAACATGAGTTCTTGGATCCCTTCCTCAAAGTCAGCAATGATGAGGTCGTGTCGCGTGATGAGTTTGGACATGGTAGCATCAGTAGCCAAACTTTCCAAGCACTTCTGTACAAGCCCCTCACGCCAACCTTTGATAGGCGTATCCCCATTAATGCTCTTCTGGATCCAGAGAAGTTGCTTGAGGTTCCCCTTGTCGCTCTCGCCATGTTGCCTGATGAAATCGAAGGCTTTGTCTAGGTCTTCGTCAGACTTGTCAGGGTTGGTGGTTTTGGACTTCTTCATGGGCGGGGTGAGAGTAAACAGAAAATACTGAGTGCCACCCATCTGCTCCGGCATGAATAGCAAAGCCTTTTTGGTGGTCTTGGCATTAGACCCCCAAACGACCTCACAAGCCCTACCGTAGCAGGCGTTCACGAACTTGGAGCCTTTGATCTTGGTTTCCGGAATGTAGATGTGTTTGATAATGGTTTGTTTCCCGTCTGTTTGCGGTATCACAAACAACTGAAGAAGGTACTTCACACCGAGGTCGTTCTTGATGCCAAATGGTGCCGGAAGCTCTCCCCAAGCTTTATCGCGAAGGATAGGTCCAAAAGCATCATAAATGATGGCACCTTCGTGATTTTCAATAATGTCAATGCAATTGGCCATCTGCGAAGCATTTGGATTGAGATCACGTAGAGGAAGAACGGACGGATGTACAGGACCCAGAGGCATGGGACCCACCTTGACGTGTTGCGGAAGTTGCTTCAAAACCAACTCATTCGTGGCCTCCAACGCGTTGGAAAGAGTAAGGTTTTCTGCGTCCATGCTTGGCGAAGTCAATCTACTGGTATCGTACGCATTTCTAACTTGATCTCAGAAATACAGCTACGAGAAATGACTTTGTGCGTGTGCGGATATGCAACTTGCAGGTGCGCGACATGTGGGCAGCAGTGCGAAAACTTTTTTGCCCACTTTGCATAGCCTTTCTCGCTCTCAAGTTTCTAGTGCATAACCGCGGTGATAACAAACCAATATTCGTTCTATGCACGTGCATTTCAATTTGTAACTGAACAACTTATACTCAACTTATATTACTATATGAATATTATAGGTTACCTAAATTTCTAACCCTCACAGCAATGCGTCTCTGTCGCGACCAGCTGCCGCCAAGCTACCTGCAGTCAGGTGTCATGCGGGTTGTTTGGTTCATATTAAGGTGAGGTATTATTTGGATACATATAGGAAGGGATAAAATATGATATAGGGGTATCAGACCAACCTCTCAGCAGATAAAA